TAGGGCCTCTGCTTAGAAAATACATAATTTTTTCGTGTAATTTTCTAGCAAAAAAAAGCTTATTTTTACATTTATGGAAGAAGTGTCAGAATACACTATATTGCCAAAAGTATTGGACAGCTGCCTTTACACACACACACATGAACTTTAATGACAACCCAGTCTTAGTCAGTAGGGTTCAATATTGCGTTGGCCCGCCCTTTGCAGCTATAACAGCTTCAACTCTTCTGGGAAGGCTGTTCACAAGGTTTAGGGGTGTCTGTGGGAATGTTGGACCATTCTTCCAGAAGCGCATTTGTGAGTTCAGGCACTGATGTCGGACGAGAAGGCCTGGCTCACAGACTCTAATTCATCCCAAAGGTGTTCTATCGGGCTGAGGTCAGGACTCTGTGCAGGCCAGTCAAGTTCCTCCATCCCAAACTCACTCATCCGTGTCTTTCTGGACCTTGCTTTATCCACTGGTATGCAGTCATGTTGAAACAGGAAAGGGCCATCTTCAAACTGTTCCCACAAAGTTGGGAGCATGAATTTGTCTGAATGTCTTGGTATGCGGACACCTTAAGATTTCCCTTTACTGGAACTAAGGGGCCAAGCCCAATCTCTGAAGAACAATCTCACACCATATTCCCCCCTCCACCAAACTTTACACTTGGCACAATGCAATCAGACAAGTTGTCACGTACCTGATGGGAGACTGAATTGAAGAGGTCGGCCTCACTTGTGTCACTAGCCCTGACCCCGCTGAGGTTGGAACAGAGGGAGTCTAGGGACCAGGAGGACAAGAGCGCCAGTGGTTGTTGCTTGCGGCTCTTGCAGATGATGACCCTGGTAGGCAGAGTATCCTCTGATTTGAGCACCATAAAAATAGACCAGGCAGGTTCTGTGGATTGCCAGATGTGCAGCAGAGCAAGGTAGGTAGCAAGGACACAGGACTGGAGCAGAGTCATAGGATAGTCGGGGTCATAAACAGTTGGGCAGGGCGGTACAGAATCAGAAGGAAAAGCCAAAGTAGGAGCAGAGCCGAAGTCAGGAACCAGGAGCAGGAGAGTAATCGGAGTCGGGTCAGGAACAAGCCGGGTCAGCAACAAAGGAATTGTACAGGACCAAGCAGGACACGGGGGGAGCTGAAGACCAGTCAGCACTGAATCTGAGCAGAGGCACTCCTTAAATGGTCCGTCTGGCACCAATCTTCGCCGTGCATGTGCATGTGTGCGTGCATGATCGCGCATTCCTGCGCACAACCGGCAATTCTTCTGCGGGATCTCCTTTGCGCATGCGCGCTCCCGATCGCGATTCTTCTTGCCGGAAATCCCTCACACAAGTACCGTTCTCCTGGCAACCGCCAAACCCAGACACGTCCATCAGATTGCCAGACAGAGAAGCTCTAGAGTCCAGTGGCGGCGTGCTTTACAGTTTACACCACTGCATCCGACAATTTGCACTGCACTTGGTGAGGTAAGGCTTGGGTGCAGCTGTTTGGCCATGGAAACCCATTCAATGACGCTTTCTACACACAGTTGTGCTAATCTGAAGGCCACATGAGGTTTGGAGGTCTTTGGTTATTGACTCTGCAGACAGTTGGCGACTTCTGCACACCGTGCGCTTCAGCATGCACTGACCCCGCTCTGTTATTTTACATGACCTACCACTTCATGGCTGAGCTGCTGTTGTTCCTGATTGCTTCCATTTTGTTATAATACCACTAACAGTTGACTGTGGAATATTTAGTAGCAATGAAATTTCATGGATGGACTTATTTACCATTCTTGAATTCACTGAGCTCCTGAGAGCGACCCATTTTTTCACAAATGTTTGTAGAAGCAGTCTGCATGCCTAGGATCCTGATTTTATATACCTGTGGCCATGGAGGTGATTGGAATACCTGAATCCGATGATTTGGAGGGGTGTCCCAATACTTTTCGCAATATAGTGTAGTTTTAGGAAGCAAGTGGTTAAGCTGGTTTGACGTTCTCCTTCAACTGTTCTGATATGTTTTGTGAGTCATCATGATGATATCATTTAAAGAGGCATGGTCACATTTTTCGTTCACTATTAAAAACAAAACAAAAAAAAAAAAAAAAAAAAAACACATTCACAACATAAAAACAACAAAGCAAAACAAAACAAAAACACCCCCCCCCCCCCCCCCCTCCACCCCAACACCAGCAAATCTGTATCCAAGAAAGTGCTAGATGAATTTTTTATTAACCGCTTGCCGACCAGCCACAGTACTTTTACTGCGCCAGGGCGGCAACTCAGCCCAAAAACACGTTATATATACAGCTGATTCGCGATCCGCCGACCCCCGCGGGTATCACAATTCGATCCCCGAGGGATCAATCATTCGACATCGGCCTGTGAAGTCCGGCCGAAGTTGGATGATCGGTCCCTGTCCTATGTTGACAGTTACACAGGACAGGATATGTTGTCAATCTTCTCTGCCTGTGCACATTCCGTCCCAGAGAGAGAAGAAGACACAGAAAAAATGAGTACTACACTTACAGTTAGAACACACCTAGGTCACACTTAACCCCCTGATCACCCCCCCAGTTAAACCCCTTCACTGCTCTGTCACCAGTATCATTTACAATGTACAGATTTTTTAATGATCACTGTATTAGTGTCGCTGGCGACTTCTGATAGCGTTAATGTCAGTTAGCGCCCTTCCCAGATAGCGTCAGATTGCCCGCTAGTACACCAGTAATCACATTTAACCCCTTGATTGCCAGGAACACGCTCACTTACACACTAAACCTCAATTGCTAGTATAGTGTCTGAACGGATCAATATCTTTGATCAGATCAGCGCTATACCAGCACATTAGTATAGCATCCCCAAAAACGCAGCATTAGCAGGATCAGCCCCAGCACCTTCCAGCACCTGCATTTAGCCCCTACGCTTACCCCTCTTCTCCCCCAGCAAGTGCAGTGTCAGTAGATAACTGTCACTTGATACATTGCACACAAAACTGCAGTGTTCACAGAATCAGGCTTAATCTCCGTTAGCACTTGTCAGTAAATTTTTTGTAGCGGTTCAAGCAGTCCCTGACAGCCAGGCGCTCTTTTTCTCACACTAGGTACAGTACCTATAAATTTAGTGGCCAAAATGTCCAACCAAAAGGTACACTAGTGAAGAGGCCTACAGGATTCTGAGCATGTCAGGTGAGAGCAAAGGGGAAGACTCACTGACAGAATTCGCCTCAGAATACGAACCTGTTGACAGCAGCGGCACCCAGTTAGCTCAGACGACGGAGAAAAGGTCCCTGCTAATGTCAGGGCTCCCGGGTATGACCAGAGGTGTGTGACTGACGCAGGGAAACGCAGACTTCAGATATGTTATAAACAATGTAATTTATTAACACTAACCATACAAACATAAACGCAGTGCAATACTAAAACATAACACAGTGCAAACAAACAACAACCAACCACCCACAGATAACAGTACATACAATGCAAGCGTCGTCAGGCAGGCCGGGTCAATATCAGTCGGGCAGGTAGGTACAGGGGGAGCAAGCGGAGAATGGTCGGGGTCACAGGCCAGGTTCAGCAGGTAGCAGGCAGCGTGGTACAGAGGGTCAGGCAGAGGAGAATGGTCAGACAAGCCAGGGATCAGAGCAGGGTCAGCAGAGAATCAGACAGGAACAGAGAGCAGGAACAGGATACAGGGCCCAAGAGAAACACAACACCAAGGCAGAGTCTGCAGGTCTGAATGTCCCTTAAATACACCAGTATAATTAGTTCCAGGTGTTTGACTGGCTGCAAGGTTGAGTCTCTGATTGCTGGGAGCACCCGCTGGCCAGCCCTGGTACTGCAGCTCATAAGGCAGCTGAGTCCCACTATTGCTGGCCAGTCCATTCCTGACAGTACCCCCCCCTCATGGAGCGGCCTCAGGACGCTCCAAACAGTCCTACCTGGGCAAAATGTTCCACCGCCGGGTCTGGTAACTGGCGGGATATCAAAGACTGGCACACCGGACAGGACTCCGGGCAGCGGCACACCGGGCAGAGGCACATCGGGCTGGACTCCGGGCAGAGGCACATCGGGCTGGACTCCGAGCAGAGGCACATCGGGCTGGACTCCGGGCAGAGGCACATCGGGCTGGACTCCGGGCAGAGGCACATCGGGCAGAGGCACATCGGGCAGAGGCACATCGGGCAGAGGCACACCGGGCTGGACTCCGGGCAGAGAGACTCCGGGCAGAGGCACATCGGGCAGGACTCCGGGCAGAGGCACATCGGGCAGAGGCACACCGGGCTGGACTCCGGGCAGAGGCACACCGGGCTGGACTCCGGGCAGAGGCACACCGCTGGACTCCGGGCAGAGGCACCCGGGCGGGCTGGACTCCGGGCAGAGGCACACCGGGCTGGACTCCGGGCAGAGAGGCACACCGGGCTGGACTCCGGGCAGAGGCACACCGGGCTGGACTCCGGGCAGAGGCACACCGGGCTGGACTCCGGGCAGAGGCACACCGGGCTGGACTCCGGGCAGAGGCACACCGGGCTGGACTCCGGGCAGAGGCACACCGGGCTGGACTCCGGGCAGAGGCACACCGGGCTGGACTCCGGGCAGAGGCACACCGGGCTGGACTCCGGGCAGAGGCACACCGGGCTGGACTCCGGGCAGAGGCACACCGGGCTGGACTCCGGGCAGAGGCACACCGGGCTGGACTCCGGGCAGAGGCACACCGGGCTGGACTCCGGGCAGAGGCACACCGGGCTGGACTCCGGGCAGAGGCACACCGGGCTGGACTCCGGGCAGAGGCACACCGGGCTGGACTCCGGGCAGAGGCACATCGGGCTGGACTCCGGGCAGAGGCACATCGGGCTGGACTCCGGGCAGAGGCACATCGGGCTGGACTCCGGGCAGAGGCACATTGGGCAGAGGCACATCGGGCAGGACTCCGGGCAGAGGCACATCGGGCAGGACTCCGGGCAGAGGCACATCGGGCAGGACTCCGGGCAGAGGCACATCGGGCAGGACTCCGGGCAGAGGCACATCGGGCAGGACCCCAGGCAGAGGGCAGAGGCACATCGGGCAGGACTCCGGGCAGAGGCACATCGGGCAGGACTCCGGGCAGAGGCACATCGGGCAGGACTCCGGGCAGAGGCACATCGGGCAGGACTCCGGGCAGAGGCACATCGGATTACCAGGCAAAGCAGCAAGCAGCGGGCCACCAGGCGGAGCAGCAGGCACCGGGCCCCCGGGCGGGGCGACAGGCACCGGGCCCCCGGGCGGGGCGACAGGCACCGGGCCCCCGGGCGGGGCGACAGGCACCGGGCCCCCGGGCGGGGCGACAGGCACCGGGCCCCCGGGCGGGGCGACAGGCACCGGGCCCCCGGGCGGGGGCGACAGGCGCCGGACCCCCAGGCGGAGCGGTGGGCGCCGGACCCCCAGGCGGAGCGACAGGTCTCGGGCCCTCAGGCGGAGCGGCGGGCGCCGGACCCCCAGGCGGAGCGACAGGTCTCGGGCCCCCAGGCGAAGCGGCGGGCACCGAGTCACCAGGCACGACAGTGGGCTCCGAGTCAACTGGCACGACCGCTGGCACTGGGTCAGACATTGGATCGTCTGGCTGGACAGCGGGCATCGGGTCACCAGGCATCAGGTCATTTGGCTCGACAGTGGGCACCGCGTCATCTGGCAAGGCAGTGGGCTCCGAGTCAACAGGCACGACAGTGGGGCACCGAGTCACCAGGTACGACAGCGGGCTCTGAGTCAATTGGCCTAATAGGATCGTCAGGCTGGATCAGTTCATCATGCTGAGTAGAGGCATCAGGCTGAATGCCGGCGTCAGGCTGAATAGAGGCTTCGGGCCGAGTAGAGGCTTCGGGCCGAGTAGAGGCTTCGGGCCGAGTAGAGGCTTCGGGCCGAGTAGAGGCTTCAGGCTGAAGAGAGGCATCAGGCCGAGTAGAGGCATCAGGCCGAGTAGAGGCATCAGGCCGAGTAGAGGCATCAGGCCGTAGAGTAGAGGCTTCAGGCCGAGTAGAGGCTTCAGGCCGAGTAGAGGCTTCAGGCTGAAGAGAGGCTTCAGGCCGAGTAGAGGCATCAGGCTGCGTACAGGCATCAGGCTGCGTACAGGCATCAGGCTGCGTACAGGCATCAGGCTGCGTACAGGCATCAGGCTGAGTACAGGCATCAGGCTGAGTAGAGGCTTCAGGCTGAACCACGGAAGGCAGGTTCACCGGTTTGGATACTGGCAGGATGGTATTGGTTGGAAAGAATTTTCGCTTTTTTCTGGTTTTAAACTACTGGGGCACTGCAAGTAAACGCAGGTCTGCAAATGAATGGAGCAGCTGGAGACAGAGAAGAACTGGAGGATGGAACAGGAGAGGGAGCAGTTGCTACAGAGGGCTTTTTTACAGGGTTAAAGGCAGGATAGGTGCAGCGAGTGGGAACAGGGTACTGACATGCGGTAGATAGCAGGGCAGGAGGAGCTGTTGGGAATGCAGGAATAGAGTTTTGAGGAAATAGATTAGAAGCAGGACTGGGTTTTTGTAAGCTGACTGAGGCTGGGTGCAACAAGTCTGTCCATGTCTGCAGTATGGGTTGAACAAAGCTGAGCTTACACAAAGCCTGTCTGACCAAAGACTGCACTGCGTTTATACAATCTCTTAGTGTCTGTGGTGAACATGTGGAATAACGCTCCAGAAAGTAACCCACATCATCCTCTAATAACCACACCAGGGACTCTACCTGGTCTGCACTAAATGGTGGCAAAAATTCATCCCTGCATTCGGGGGTACCAGATGAAACCAACTCAGCACAAACCTCAATCAAAGGCTGCATCTCAGAGAACTCTGTGCCCTGATCTACTAGAACATGAGCGAGCCGTATACATTCTAGCAGTTCATCCCGGGTATACTCCTTCAGAGTTTGATAAGCATACTCTCTGTCATCAAACACTAGCAGATATAAATACGCAACCTCATCCAGATCCATCCTTCCCATCAACAAGCCAAGATGGCTTCCCTGTGCAGCCACTTCTGGTCAGGATTGGCCTTGGTGTAATGTCAGGGCTCCCGGGTATGACCAGAGGTGTGTGACTGACGCAGGGAAACGCAGACTTCAGATATGTTATAAACAATGTAATTTATTAACACTAACCATACAAACATAAACGCAGTGCAATACTAAAACATAACACAGTGCAAACAAACCAACCAACCACCCACAGATAACAGTATATACAATGCAAGCGTCAGGCAGGCCGGGTCAATATCAGTCGGGCAGGTAGGTACAGGGGGAGCAAGCGGAGAATGGTCGGGGTCACAGGCCAGGTTCAGCAGGTAGCGGGCAGCGTAGTACAGAGGGTCAGGCAGAGGAGAATGGTCAGACAAGCCAGGGATCAGAGCAGGGTCAGCAGAGAATCAGACAGGAACAGAGAGCAGGAACAGGATACAGGGCCCAAGAGAAAACACAACACCAAAGCAGAGTCTGCAGGTCTGAATGTCCCTTAAATACACCAGTATAATTAGTTCCAGGTGTTTGACTGGCTGCAAGGTTGAGTCTCTGATTGCTGGGAGCACCCGCTGGCCAGCCCTGGTACTGCAGCTCATAAGGCAGCTGAGTCCCACTATTGCTGGCCAGTCCATTCCTGACAGCTAAGATCAGGCGTACCTGACCCCATTTATAGGTTGCTAAGATGTTACAAACGCATGATGACTTTCATAAGCCGCAGGGTGCCAGTACTAGTGCTGCGCTACCTTTTGGTGAACAGGTGAGCACCAGCGGCCTAGTACGTCCTGGTCTTATAAATACCAGCACTGCAGTATCACTTGGTGACGTGGCAAGTCCCATAAGTGCAGTACAAGCTGGTGTGGTGGCAAGTCCCATAAGTGCAGTACAAGCTGGTGTGGTGGCAAGTCCCATAAGTGCAGTACAAGCAGGTGCGGTCCTGCGGCCACCAAGAATTCGCACACAGGCCCGTACAGCCCCTAGTATCCTTCCGGATGTGCTTGCAAATCCTGATTGGCAGCCCACAAATTCTGCAGCACCTGTACTTCCCCCATTCACAGCCCAGAATTCCGGTGGAAATGACAAATTTAAATATTCCCCTCGATATTTTGGAGTTGTTTTTTCACAGATGATCTGTATGCATTGATTGTGGATCAAGGAAATTTATATACATGGCAATTTATCACCGCCAACCCAAATCCAAACCTTGCCAGACCATTCACATGGAAACCCATTATGGTTTCCAAATTTAAAGTTTTTTGGGGCCTAACCCTCAACATGGGCATTACTAAAACAAATGAATTGCGGTTGCATTGGTCCGCAGACCCGATTCATCATATGACCATGTTCTCTGCTGCCATGGCCAGGCATAGATATGAGACGATATTGCGTTTTATGCACTTCAACGACAACACACTCTGCCATCCTCTGGGTGACCCTGAATTTGATCGGCTCCACAAAATTCGGCCCCTCGTAAATCACTTTAACCAAAAATGTGCAGATGTGTATACTCCCCAGCAAAACATCTGCATGGATGAGTCCCTCATTAATTTTTCTGGCTGCCTTGCATTCAAACAATTTATCCCCAGCAAGCGAAGCATGCAAGATATGGGGTCAAGATGTATAAGACCTGTGAGAGGGCAACAGGCTATACATATAAGTTTTGGATTTATGAGGGAAATGATAGTCATGTGGAGCCCCCTGGATGCCCAGTCTACATAGGGAGCAGTGGCAATATAGTTTAGGACTTGACGTCATCCTTTTTCCATATGGGGTACCACTTCTTCGTGGACAATTTTTATTCAAGCGTGCCACTATTTAGACATTTTTGTATAATCTTGGAATTGGTGTATGTGGCACTGTGCGACCTAACCGCAGGGTCTTCCCCCAACGGCTTTTAAATACCCGTCTTAGAAAGGGGGGAAAAGCTTGCTTGAGAAACAAGGAATTTCTGGCAGTGAAATGGAAGGACAAACGGGATGTTTTCTTCCTGTTTTCCATTCACACAGATACGACCATCCAAATTACCACGGCAGCTGGTGTTGTTGAGAAGCCCCTGACAATAACCTTAACATGGTAGGGGTGGACTTCAACGACCAGATGATGAAGCCGTACTTAAGTTTCTCGAAAAGCCAGGCGCTGGTACAAAAAAGTGTCTATTTATTTCAATTGGCTTTATATAACGCTTTTGTGCTTTACAAAGCAACTGGACATAGTGGATCCTTCCTAAAATTCCAGGAAGAGATCATTAAGGCCCTTTTGTATCCAGAAGGCGTTGTGGCCCCAACCCCCAACCCAGATGCAGTTAGCCGGCTGCATGAGAGGCATTTCTTTCCCACTGCCATTCCTGGTACCCCAACCCAAAGGAACCCCCCAAAAAAATGTGTCTGTAGCAGACATGGATTTAGGCATGACAGCCACTTTTTTTGTCCCTCCTGTCCTGACCAACCTGGCCTCTGCATCAAGGACTGCTTCCGTCGCTACCATACACTAGTGGAGTATTAGTATAGGGCACAGAACGGCATAGTTCAGGGCACATTTACACAGGGTCTCGAAAGATGTTCGGTAGTCAGGAAATTGGCTATCGCATTTGGAGAGACCCTACAATCTGTTTTAAAAATGTTAAAGCTTGAAAAAAAGTAAAAAAATTAAATAAAAAATTAAAAGTACAAATCCCCAAAAAAAAAAAAAATTTAAAAACCAAAAATAGTTAATTTTTTTGTCATTTTTGTTATTTTTCTACTGTTACACTTTTAGTGTTTTATTGTTACTGTTTTATTGTTAACCATTGCTGTTTTCTTTGCAGGAATGCTTTCAGCTGCAGCACTGACCTATTTATTCTGACAGCAACAGGAACTTGCTCTCAGAATATATATAAATCAGTGTGGGCAGCGCTGCTGGATGAGATTTTTCATCCGCAGTTTAAAAAAAGAGCATATATGACAAAACATGGGGGCCTGGGGTGGCCAGTGGGTGGATGGCCCCTATGCTTCGACATATATATTTTATATTTGTTGGCACATTTTGTGTGTGCCCACCATTGGAAGTTGGTAGATGCAGGGAGGTATTCTAATGCTGGGCATACCACACGCTTTTTTTGGCAGAGATTTCTTCTCTTTTTTTCTATCCAGCCCACAGGCTGCACAAAAAAAAACAAACAAAAAAACAAAAAACATAGCATATATACCCAACAAGGACCAGCAACATACTGGTATCATCCTGGTATCGTTTTTTTCAGCCGGTGATGGGCTTTCATGTAAAAGTAAGCCTAGTGGCTAATTAGCTGCAGGATTGCTTTTACAAGTTGCGGGAGAAGATGCCCCCCCTCCCCTCTGCCTTCCATGGCCTTCTCGGGCAGTTCTCGTGCCATCAGGCAAACCTGAGAATGCAGCCGGTGTTTCTGCCAGCTGACCATAGAGCTGATTGGATACTGGAAAGGTGCCAATCATTTCTATAGTCTAAGAAATCGGAAGCTACGAGCATTTCATCACTTCAGTTTCGCAGGATAAAAACAGCGCCATTTGTAAATTGGAAAAGCATCTGATCACACCGATCTTGGTGAGATTAGATAATGTAAGGGCAGTGGAGATATCTAGAGTATGATAGACCCCAGATTTCTCAAAAAAGAATATATGACAATGCCCATTGAAGTTATAGGGGATATTTGAATTCCCTGTGATAGCATTAAAAGTGATAAAAAAAATGAAAGGAACAGTATAAAAATAATTAAATAAATCAAAATGGCTAAAAAAAAAACCCAAAAGTACCCTCCCGACCCCACCCCCCCTCCCCGTGCGCACCTGCATGCATGAACGTTGATCCTGTGCCAGTATGGAAACAGCGGTTGCACCATGTATGTGCGGTATCGCCACAAATGCCTGATCAAGGGCAGTAATTCTAGCACTAGACCTCCTCTGTAAATCTAAAATGGTAGCTTGTAAAGGCTTTTAAAGCGTTGCCTATAGATATTAAAAATGTATGCAGTTTGTCGCCATTGCACGGGGCATGCACAGTTTTAAAGCATGTCATGTTTGGTATCTATTTACTCAGCATAGCGTCTTCTTTTATATCTTACCAAATAATTGGCCAATATATTGTGTGTTTTTGTACATTAAAATTAAAAAAAGTTGCATTTGAAAAATCGCTGCGCGAGTACTATGTGACATAAAAAATTGCAGCACCCACCATTTTATTTACTAGGGTGTCTGCTTTAAAAAATATATATAAATGTTTGGGGGTTCAAATGAATTTCCTAGCAAAAATACAGATTTTTTTATGTAAACAAAAAGTGTCAGAAAAGGCTTGGTCTTCAGGTGATTAGAAGAGTGAATGATGTGTGGCATAAACTTCTAATGCTGGGCATAAAATGCCCCCACCCCCCCCAAAATTACCCCTTTTTGGAAAGCAGACACCCCAAACTATTTGCTGAGAGGCATGTTGAGTCAATAGAAGAATTTATATTTTTAGCACCATTGTTTGGAAAATGACAAAAAAAAATTTTTTTTACACTAAATTGTCACTTATATATTGCTTACACATGCCATGGGTATATGTGGAATTACTCCCCAAAATGCACATTCTGCTACTTCTCCCGAGTACGGGGATACCACATCGGAGAGACTTTTTGGCAGTCTAGCCAAGTACAAGACCCCAAAATCCAATAAGCACCTTCAGGCTTTCAAAAGGGCTTTATTTCCTCATTACACTTCCTGACTACCTATCAAAGTTTCGAAGGCGCTGAAATGCCAGGATAGCACCAAACCCCCCAAATGACCCATTTTTGGAAAGTAGACATCCCAAGGAATTTGATAAGAAACAGTTTTTGGAAAATGAAGAAAGAAAACAAAAAACATATTTTTTCTTTTCTTTTTTTAGATTTCAAATCCTTGTGAGAAAAAATGAGATCTGCAAAATACTCACCATGCCTCTTTTTAAATCCCTTGGGGTGTCTACTTTCCAAAAAGGGATCATGTTGGGGGGTTTGGTGCTACTCTGGCATGTCAGGACCTCCGAAACTGTGATAGGTAGTGAGGAAGTGAAATTAGGAAGTGAAGCACCTTCAGGCTTTCAAAGTGGTCATTGGATTTATGGCTCCTGTATGTATGTGTCTCACACGTGTGGTATCCCCATACTCGGTAGAAGTATCAGAATGTATTTTGGGGTGTAATTCCACATATATCCAAGGCTTTTGTGAGCAATATATCATTTAAGTGACAACGTTGTGTAAAAAAATCCCCAAAAAAACAGTTTTTGTCATTTTCCAAAAAATAAAGAGTCTGTGGAAAAAAATAAATCTTCCACAGACTCAATTTAAAAATTAAAAAGACAGCGCAAAAAAAAAATTAGTATATATATATATAAAAACTTAAATGAATAATATATAAAAATAATATATATAACTAATGTCCAAATCAAAAGTGCAAGAAAATAATAAAAGTTCCAATCCAAAAAATGAAGATATCCTAAATCCAATGTGCTCCAAAGAAATAAATGAAAAAAAGGTGCCGTATGAAGAAAACTTCAGTGTATAAACACCATCCGTGATAACCAACAAATACTGCACTCACCAAATATAGTGGACTCTCAGTGATTAAGAGTCAAAAACGCTTGGGGAATATTATATATCCTGCCAATAGGAGTTCCACTGCTCAAAAGAATGCTCCAATAGAAGGATTTAACACACAATTCAATCAGTATAAAAAAAAGAAAAAAACTGATAGTGTAATATTGTCAAAAGAATTTAAATCTAAAAATAGATGCATCAATTGCACTCACATCTTAAAACAACAAGAACCGCCTTGGGTCAATTACAAAATGACCATCAAATCATTTTTCTGCCAATGAAGATTCCCATAGATCTTCCTATAAAATATATATATATATATAATATTTATTTTTTTTTTTTTTTTGCTTTGTGTTTTTTTATTTTTATTTATTTTGTTTGATGGTTTGTCAACAAAAAGCAGCAGTACTAGTTTAGGAATTTAATATTTTTTTATTTGATCAATACATGGACTCAATATGCTTAGGGTGTCTACTTTCCAAAAAGGGGTCATTTGGTGGCGTTTGTACTATCCTGGTATTTTAGCACCTCAAGAAATGTGATAGGCAGTCAGAAAGTAAAAGCTGTGTAAATTTCAAATTAGCTATACCATAGATTATAGATGCTAAAACTTTCACACAAAGCAATCAATATACACTTATTGTTTTTTTTTTTAACCAAAAACATGTAGCAAAATACATTTTGGCTAAAATGTATGACTAACTGAGTTTTACTATATATGTTTTTATAGCCGAAAGTAGAAAATAGTTTTTCTTCAAAATTTTCAGACTTTTTTTTTTTATAGTGCAAAAAATAAAAAGCGCACAGGTGATTAAGTACCACCAAAAAAAAGCTCTATTTGTGTCAAAATAAAGGACATAAATTTTGTTTGGGTACAGCATTGCATGACCGCGCAATTACCAGTTGAAATAGTGCAGTGCCAAACAGCAAAAAAAAGGCCTGGTCAGGAAGGGGGGTAAATCCTCAGGAGGGCAAGTAGTTAATCTCTTAATTTTCATAACAAACTGTATGCAAAAATATTTAAGTTTGTTTATTATATTCACTGTTTTTTTCTATAGCAGGTATATCTACAAGATGTCAGTGCATAGGGTCTTTGAAATTTGTGCCCCCGAAGAAATTTCAAAATATTGAAGTCCTACCACAATCATCATCATGTGATCAGTTAGAAATTATGTAAGTCAATGTAATGATTAAAATAGAAAAAGCATTTGTTTACGAGCACTGTAAGGGCCCATTTACACCAGAAACTGCACGTTTACTGTGCATTTTTGCGTGCGCAGTGAAGTGCATTTGACACGTTTTACATGCATTTGCATATATTTGCAGTGCATTTTTCTTAAGTTTGCATTTCCTTTAAGGTCACTTCCATCTTTTTTTCTTCTATGGGCTTTAATGTGCATTGCACGATGTTGTGGAGCATTTGCTTGTGTTTCTGTGCATTTAAAGTGCATAATAATGCAGCTTGCTGTACCTTTTTCACTGTATTGCAATATCGTGAACTATACCCATATGATGACCTGGTTTTGGACTGTCTATGCAGTTGGACTGTAGTCAAAAATGCATCCCACTACATCTCAATACATCTCAGATTACCCCAATTCCTGCACCTTTATACCCCAATTCCTGTAACATCGCATTTAAGATCACCCCAATTTCTGCACCTTCGCACACCAGATCAGACACAATTTCTGCACTTTTAGATCCCAAATGTGCCCAATTTCTGCACCTTCAGATCTCAAATAGGTGCAATTTCTGCACCTTCACGCCTAAGATGACCCCAATTCCTACACCTTCACACTTCAGATCACCCCACTTTCTGCACCATCATACCTCATATCAACCCCAAATACTGCATTATTGCACAGCAGATCATCCCCAATTCCTGCACCTTCCCACCCCAGATCAGACACAGTTTCTGCACTTTCATATCTCAAATTAGCCCAACTCCCACACCTTACACCTCTGATCACCCCACTGCCTGCACCATCACACCTCATATCAGGCTCAATTCCTGCACCATTGCAAATAAGATCACCCCAATTCCTATAGCTTCCCACCCCAGATTAGACCATTTCTGCACTTTCAAATCTCAAATGAGCCCAACTTTCACACCTCAAACCTCTGATCACCCCAATTTCTGCACCTTCAGATCTCATATAGGTGCAATTACTGTACCTTCACAGCTCAGATCACCCCTCTATCTACACATCACATGTCATATCAGCCCCAATTCCTGCATCATCACACATCAGATCACCCCAACTCCTACACCTTCACACCTCAGATCAGTCCCAATTCCTGCACCTCTAAATTAGTAGTTATTAACAGATAGTTAATTAACAGTCCAAAATGAGAGCAGGCAGCTTAGGGCATCCAACACAACTTCAGGACCGGATCTAGCCTGTCTGATGTGGGGGTGCAGTAAAAAAATGTCATGATTTGTTAGTCAGCAAGGCAGAGAATAGGGTCAGCAGTTTTTAGGGCAGTATACAGAGGCCAGCAAGACAGAGGATGGAAGGTCAGAAGGAAAGTGTAGATGGGTAGCAAAGAAGAGGACAGGGGTTAGTAGGGCAGAGAACAGGGTCAAGCAATGTGGAGAACAGGGGTCAGTAGGGCAGAGGACCAGGGGTCAGCAGGGCAGTGCACAGTGGTTAGCAGAGCAGGGTCAGGGGCTGAGAGGGCAGAGGATGGGGTCAGGACAGTAATGAAAAGGCATTAGCAAGGCAGAGGATGGGGTCAACAGGGCAGTGTACAGTGGTCAGTAGGGGCATAGGACAGGGGTCAGCAACACAAAGGATGGGGTCAGCAGGGTAGAGGACAGGTGTCAGCAGGGCAGAGGATGGAGTAAACAGGACTTAGGACGGGATCAGCCTGGCATAGGATAGGGTCAGCAGGGCACAGGACAAGGCCAGCAGGGCAGAGGATGGGGTCACTGCTGGCAAGGCACTCACCAGAGCTCCTCCTCCCCACACTGCACACAGCAAAGATGAGATTCTTTTACAAACAGCCTTGATCTGCACATTGTACTTCACTGTAACAGCTGTTCTGTTTTTCTGATCTGAGAAATGCAACAGCCAGCTACACACTGTGCAGATCAAGGTTGTGTTTGTAAAAGAATCTGATCTCAGCTGTTTGCAGTGTTGGAAGAAGCAGCTCCGCTACATGTCCTGTGAAAAGGCAGTCTGAGGATGGGAGAAACAAGCTTATCAACCCGGGTATAGCATCCATGGGGGAGGGGGTGGATCCAGCCGTGCTCCACATTGCTTCCTTGTCAGCTAAATGCAGGCAGGAAATGAGGTGGGAAAGAACCAAACGTGCCACCTCCTGTGTAGCCAGCCTCAACCACTAGCCAGGCTTTGTGGAAGTGTACCATCATAAATGCGACTGTGTGCCATGTGCCAGGGGACTCTGACTTGACCCCTCGTCAAGTCAAGGTCCAGATCTCAACCCAGTAAACCACTTGTGGTTGAACTTAGGTTGCATGAGGAACATGAGTTAACAGCCTCTTCTAACAGAAATAGCGTAGTTTGCACAGAGGAAAGGGGAATAATCTGTTTCCAAATGTGCAAATCCTATAGAGACCCATCCACACAGACTTGGTTCTGTAATTGCTGCCAAACAAACATCTACTAAATACTTTTTAGTATTTAATATATTTAAATTTAAATAATTTGCACTGACCTGGTTTTACTCTTACATTTAAACATATATATTTCTGCTAATCAGCAATAAATAAGTAAAATTCACTGCAATTGTAATATGAACTCTTTTAAGAGGTGAATCAGAGATACTGTATGCCTCTATATGGTCTATAAAAAAAATCTTAGTGAATGCCTGCTACAGTTAGGTCCATATATATTTGGACACAGTCACACTTTTAGTTTTTTTCAGGTATTTACCAAAACATATTTAACCACTAGCCTACAGGGCACTTATACCCCCCTCCTGCCCAGGCCAATTTCCAGCTATCAGCGCTGTCACACTTTGAATGACAATTGCGCGGTCATGCAATACTGTACCCATATGAAATTTTTATCATTTTTTTGAAACAGATAGAGCTTTCTTTTGGTGGTATTTAATCACCTCTGGGATTTTTATTTTTTCTTAAACAAACCAAAAACCACTGAAAATTTAAAAAAAAAAAAAATGTTTTTTCATTGTTTTTGTTATACAATTTTGTAAATAAGTGATTTTTCTTCTTCATTGATGTGCACTAATGAGGCTGCAGTGATGGGCACTGATAGGCTGCACTGATGGACACTGATAGGTGGCACTGATGGGCACTGATGAGGAGGCACTGGTAGGTTGCACTGATGGGCATTGACAGGCATCACTGATGGGCACTGAAAGGCAGCACTGATACATGACACTGATATATGGCACTGATAGGCAGCACTGGCTGGCTCCGATAGGCGGCTGAGCACTGTTAGGCACTCTGATAGGCGGCACTGACTGGCACAGATGGGCGACATTGAAAGGCAGCTCAGATGGGCACTGATATTTGGCATTGATGTGCACTGGTATGCACTGTTATGTGGCATTGATGTGGCACTGATGGGCACTGGCATGTAGCACTGATGAGCACTGATGCTGGCACTGATGGACACTGACAGGTGGCACTTCTGGGGCCACATTGATCATCAGGGCACACTGATCATCAGTGCCCTGATGATCATTGCACATGTCTCCTCCGCGGAAAGCCGATTACCGGCTCTCCTCACCTCTCGAGCTGTCAGCGTGACAGCTTGAGAGGAGAGAAATGGCGATAACCGGCATTTCCGTGTTTACATGTAATCAGCTGTGATTGGACACAGCTGATCACATGACTGAGCCGACATCATCGGCTCTTTCCGTGATCCGCTGTGTCCGAAGGATCGCCGTGCTGCGCGCTCCCTGAGCCGCGCATGTGCAGTGAGAATGGAAGGACGTCATATGACGTCCTATCAGAACGAAAGAACCACCTTGCGCCCATCATTGTACTATATGGCGGGGAGAAGGTGGTTAAGCTATAGTTATATAATGGATATGGGCTGAATGTGCACACTCTCAGGTTTAAATTGAGGGTATGTACATCCAAATTGGAGGAAGGGTTTAGGAATTACAGCTCTAAGAGTAGCCATCCCCCCTTTTTCAAGGGACCAAAAGTAATTGGACAATTGAATATAATCAAATAAAATGTTCATTTTAATATTTTGTTGAGAATCCTTTACTGGCAATAACTGCTTGAAGTCAGGAACCCATGGACATTATCAAAGACTTTCTGATGCTTTGCCAGGCTCTAACTGCAGCTGTCTTCAGTTCTTTGTTTGTGGGTCTTTCTGCCTTTAATTTTGCCATCAGCAAGTGAAATGCATGCTCAATTGGGTTGAGATCAGGTGATTGACTCGGCCATTGCAGAAGATTCCACTTATTTTCCTTCAAAAGCTCCTGGGTTGCTTTTGCAGTGTGTTGTGGACCATTATCCATTTGTACTGTGAAGCGCCGTCCAATTAGCTTTGCTGCACTTGGCTGAATCTGGGCTGACAGCATACAGTATCTCTAAACACTGCAGAATTCATCCAGCTGCTTCTGCACATCATTAATAAACACCAATGACCCAGTGCCACTGGAAGCCATGCATGCCTATGCAATCACACTGCCTCCATGGGCGTATTTGCCGCGAGGCAAACAAGGCACTTGCCTAGGGCGGCACTTTTTAGGGAGGGCGGCACCGCGCCTCGAAAGAAGGGATGTCCGTGATGTCACTACAACAGTAGGCTGCTCTGGGGGACGGAGCTCTCTGCAGTGGATGGTGGTGAGGAACCAGGGCTGAGCGATGATCCCAGAGGATGGCAGTGTCCAGCGGAGGCAGGGATCTCTGTCACAGACAGGGAAGGGAAATGCGGCTGTGAGGAGGATACATATCGGCAGTACATGGCTCCCCCCCTCGGTCTCCGCCCCTCCACCAGGCCTGGTGAGTGATCTCCATCCTACTGCTGTGTATACCATGTATACTATTGGGGGGGGGGGGTGGAGAGCTGACGGAGACTGCCAGGTGACTTATTCTCATACCACTCATAACTGACACCTACCACTAACTGACACCACTGACATCCACACCACTAACTAACTGACACCTTCTCACTGCTCATACCACTAACTGACACCACCTCGCCGGTCATACCACTAACTGACACCTTCCCGTTGCTCATACCACTAACTGACACCTTATCACCGCTCATATCACTGTCACCTTCTTGCCGCTCATACCCCTAACTGACACCTTCTCGTTGCTCATACCACTGATACCTTCTCGCAGCTCATACCACTAACTGACACCTCACCGCTCATACCACTACCATCCGCCCAGAAAACGTTGGTGCACTAGAGACAGTGGGGGTGGGGGGGCAATGATTTTTGTGTTGCCTAGGGCAGCACAAAACATAAATACACCACTGACTGCCTCAATACACCACTGACTGTCTCCACCATGTTTTACAGATGGCGTTGTGTGCTTCGGATCATGAGCTGTTCCAAGCCTTCTCCACACTTTTTTCTTCCCGTCATTTTGGTACAGATTCATCTTAGTTTCATCTGTCCAAAGAATGCTTTTCCAGAACTGGTCTGGCTTTTTTAGATGTTTTTTGGCAAAGTCTAATCTGGCTTTTCCATTCTTCAGGTTTATGAATGGTTTGCACTTTGTGGTGAACCCTCTGTGTTTGCTCTCATGAAGTCTTCTCTTGATTGTAGACTTTGACAATGATACGCCCACCTCCTGGAGAGTGTCCTTCACTTGTCTGGATGTTGTGAATGGGTTTTTCTTTACCATAGAAAGGATCCTGTGATCATCCACCACTGTTGTCTTCCATGGACGTTCATGCCTTTTTATGTTGCTGAGCTCACCAGTGCGTTCCTTTTTCCTCAGAATGTACCAAACTGTTGATTCGGCCACATCTAATGTTGCTGCTAACTCTCTGATGGATTTGTTTAGTTTTTGAAGCCTTACAATGGCCTGTTTCACTTGCATGGACAGCTCCCTTGAACGCATGATGTAGGTTCACAGCAATAGATTCCAAATGCAAATACCACACTTAGAATCAACTCCAGACCTTTTACCTGCTTAATTTACTTTTTACTTTATTTATGGTACTTATATAGCGCTGTCAAATTACGCAGCGCTTTACATCTATATATTTTACATTCACATCACTCCCTAACCCTCAAGGGGCGTACAATCTAAGGTCCCTAACTCACATTCATACATATACATACTAGGGCCAATTTGGAGAGGAATCAATTCACCTACCAGCATGTCTTTGGAGGGAGTGTGGAAGGAAACCGGAGTATCCAGGGGAAACACACGCAAGCACAGGGAGAACATGCAAACTCCATGCAGGAGGTGCCATGGTCGGGAATCTAACCCATGACCCATTTACTGCAAGGCCGACATACTAACCATTAAGTCACTGTGCAGCTTTTTGAAGAAATAACGAAGGAGTAGCCCACATCTGACCATGAAACAGCTTTTGATTCAATTGTCCAATTACTTTTGGTCCCTTGAAAAAGGGGGGGTGGCTACTCTTAAGAGCTGTAATTCCTAAACCCTTCTTCCAATTTGGATGTATAAACCCTCAAATTAAACCAGAGAGTGTGCACTTTCAGCCCATATCCATTATATAACTATAGCTTGAATATGTTTTGATAAATACCTGAAAAATCTAAAATGGTGCTGGTGTCCAAATATATATGGACCTAACTGTATGTACTTGATTTTGTTACACCAAAAAGCTTTCACCTTTATATTTTATGGTAATCTGTACTTAGCATCCCCAATGAATAGGAAGCTTTTTGCTCAATTTGTGTCCATACATGCAAAGTTGACTAAACAATGAGGCACAGAGCTCCTATCTCTCCATATAATTTCTTTGTTCTATATTTTACTATAACGATAATAAGTTGCCACATAGATGTGACAATACTAGTCAGTAAAGCTATGCTGACAAATTCTACTACTATACATTAGCGCTGGGAATTATTTTCACAAATAAAAGCAGCTGTATCCGAATGCACTATGAGCAATGGAAACATACGCAGATTATCTCTATATAGCACTACTATTTGTTACCCATTACCAATCAAACACAAAAATTGAAAATATATGTAAATAAACAATAAGATAAATAATTTAGCCTGGGTTCACACTGATGCGGTGCGGCACATTCCTGTGCAAATCACATGTGATTTTTGTGTAGTTCAATTTGAGCCATACATTTTGTATGGCTCAAATCGCACCACTTCCATGCAATCCGATTCTGCACATCACACTGCATTTTGCAAACCGATTTCTCAATGTGGGCAACTTAAAATAGAAACCCGCAGCAGTTTGATGAACAGGATGCGATTATGATGCGGTTTCGAAAATTGCACAGAAACCGGTGTGAATTCTACACCACATCAGTGTGAACCAGTGCTAAGTGTGGATTCACACATGTACGGTGCGGATTAAAGGTCTATTTTCACAGTGAATTGACAAAGTAATTGTTCAGTGGTTCATGACCAGTTTAGGTGCGACTCGGGACAGGATTTTTGACACAGCTGCACATTCTGTGAGTAGAGAGCAAACTGTGCTAAAGTCGTGTTCAAACCTGATGACGTGCTATTTAGAAGCATTCCCATAGATGTCAATGAGCCTGTAATTCACTTTTGAACTGGACTGCACTGCTCAGAAATCAGACAGAACTCTTTTTGAATTTCTCTCTATCTCCCCCCCCTTTTCCCTGCTTCCCTTTCCCTTTTTTCCTTCTTCCCTTACCCCTTCCCTCAACCTTACATTCCCCATGACTGATCCTACAATTTAAGTTGTGCTCTCAAGATTATTTTGTAGATCTGCTAATGATGAAAGCTTTTTCATTTGAATTGCATAACATTATTGTATTCTGGATCATCCTCGTCTTGTTGGGAATTTTGTACTTATCGTCTTGGAAAAAGCAAAAATAATGATTTTACAAAAAAAAGCTTTATTCCACACAGAAATGTCAGAGTACCAGCTCCATCTTCTCCTATTGCAAGCAGTTCCGTCTTGCTTCTTCCCAGCTGTAAAATTGAATGACTTCTGGGCGTACTGTGCTGGATACCTCACCAGTGTGCCTGAGCGGAGCAGAAAGTGAGGTATCCCACACAGTACACCCGGAAGTGACACAATTGTACACCTGAGAAAAAGTAGGAAGGGACTGCTTGCAATAGGAGTACATGGAACTGGTACCCTGGCATTTCTGATGTGGCAATAAGCGAATTTACCTTAGTGCAAGGCATAGCACTTTTTAATGTGCGAGGGTAATGTGAAGGAGTTTTTTTTAATGTGGAAAGCTTTTAAGGTTTTACACTATGGCAGCCTTCCTTTGTCTCTCCCATGGTATATGGCTTATTGCAATTTAAGATGAAAAGTAACTGGTCCTGGTAGAAAGTGAACGGTGGCAAACCCTGCATAACAACAAGCGCTGTGTGACTTACCTGTTGTGGGTAGTCATATGTAGTTAGTGAGTTCTCTGACTTGTAGGTGGCGGATCACTGGAGAATGATCACAAGGCTACACAACCGAAAAATTCCAAATTTTTCAAGTCTACAACAGAACTCGTTCTGTGGATTAATTTGCTGATCTGATCTCCTCTAATTTACACTATACCCTGACACTTATAAATACAACCACTTTCAAACTTCAACCTTGTAAAATTTGAAAAGTGAACTAGATACCTTGATGAATGAATGAGAATCTCTAAAAATGTTTCTTGTGTTCACCTCTGAAAACACAAAATTATTATATTCTGTTTTTTTAAACATTTGTTTTAGAGTAACAGTGGATTCTACCCGCC